GGTATTCTAATTTTGCTGTTAGTAAAATTTTTCATATTAAAACATGCATTTTTTTTCATAGCTATTCTTCGTTTGATATCCACATCACATTTACAACCTGAGGTAATTAGACTTCTAAGATTATTGTAGCCGTTGACTTGTTTCACACGTTTACCGTCAGTTTTTTAATGCCAAATTTCTTCAACAACTATCGCTTTATTTGATTTTAATTTGGAAAGAGCGACGAGAACTTCAGATTTAAGTATCTTTGGTCCTTCTATCTTTTTTAATAGGAGGCTTTACATCACGGATATCATCGAAAAGGTCGTTAATATATTCAGTCCATCTTTCTAGTACTTTTTCTTTCTTAAATATTACTTTACCGGATTTTGCTTTTATATATCCAGAAACGGTACACGCTATTTTTCTAGTGATTTTTTTGATGTTTTTATACATTGTATTTGTATTTCTGTTTTTGATCTTTGCACTTGTCATTTAACTATTTATCTTTTACCTCAAAGCACAATTTTTTGATTGTTTTGTCCAGCTTTTTCCATCTATCAGGATTGTAGCCTTTCACTTTCCTTTGTTCATCCATCAAAGATACAATGTCATCTGTTATTCATTTAGGACCTATTCTTTGCTCTTTCACAGGTATAACTTCCCTTGCTGATTCTGTGAGGGCTTCTCTAAATATTTCATATCTAGATTTATTTACGTCTTCCGTCAATAACTAAAAACGATTCCGTCCTTTAACGTTATACTTGATCTTGATCTCATCATTTTGTGACGGACTGACAAAATTCAAACCATTTGTAGCCACTTCACTTTTGATTTTCTTCAACTTTATCCTGATTTTACAAACAGCTGGGTTATGATCACTACAACAAGCTGCTTCAGGGTAACTTTTTCATTGATAAACAGCATTTCCAAAATCTTCTATTTATAGTAATAAAAATATAAACATGTGATGATATGTTGTTGATATCAAGCTGCTGATGTTTTGCCGATTGTCTTATATTGGTGACGCTATGTTTTCGATGTGACGTTGCTGATGTTATTTTGCTGATATTATGTCGTTTGATATCAGTTGGTGCATGTTATGCGCGGGCACGTGGCGGTGCAGATGCATCCATGCGTGCAGAGAATTTCAAAACTTCTGTCTCTTCATCACCGCACGTCTGTTCAAAGTAAATAAAAGGATTATTAAATCTAGTTAGAATCAATTTGCTTTTAAATTAAAATCTAACTGATCATCCTGTAACGATACCTTAAATAATGATAATTATTATTATTATTAAAGATAATTAATTTTTAAAGTTTTTTATAATTTATTATTTTTTAGCCCCCAACCACATATATGCTTTATTTTATATACAATGCCATTGCGCTTTATTTTATATACAATGACATACATGTATGTATGTATGTAGGCACCAGACTCGATGACGAGTCTGTTAGATTTGCCGTTGGTTTCAGACTTGGCCTAAGTATACAAAATAAATATCTGTGTCGTTGCGGCGCGGAGGCGGACGAATTTGGTCATCATGGTTTGGTTTGCCGTTTAGGTGGAGGCCGTCAACTTCGTCATTCAGCTTTGAATGATTACATTTGCCGGCTTTTTTCTAAAGCTTCTATTCCTGTTTTGAAGGAACCATCTGGCATTTCAGTGNCAGATGGCAAGCGACCAGACGGTTGTACTCTTACTCCCTGGAGAACTGGTAAATGTTGGCTTTGGGATGTTACGGTTCCTGGTACCTTGNCCGAGCGCTACGTTCACCTTACCAGCAAAGAATGTGGTTTGGCTGCAATCAGGGCATCGGACGAAAAAATTAAAAAATATGAACACGCCCTGCCTTCGTTAGATTTTTTGCCAATATGTATCGAGGTCCTTGGACCCATGGACCCCAATACTTCAAAATTTATTAAAACATTGTGTAAAATGATTGGTATTCGGTCAGGTGACAACAGAGAGTTCTTTTTTGCAATAAACCACATCTCGTGTTTGTTGCAGCGATTTCTGCGTGTTTGTGTGTCGGAAAATATTAATTTAAACGCCGACGTGTGAGACTAACGATACATTAAAGTGTTAACCCTTTTAATCAGATGTTTGACTGTTTGGTGTCATTCATCACGATTTGGTTTTAACATACATACATACATACATACATACATACATACATACATACATACATACATACATAAATAAATAAATACATACACATGTACACACACAAACGCCACACCCACTCTAACACATACCGACATTCACACACATCAATATAACACACAAACACTTTCATACAAACACACACCCCACACATATACACACTCACACACATTATGTTTCTACACTCAGGAGCGCCTGCATTGAAATTTAGGGAAGCGTTGAAGGAAGCATGGCATATTGAAGGCACCTCTTGTGCAAAATAATGTAATCATATTTATTTTGTGCACAAGCACGCTGTGTACTTTGCTGCATATATTGGTTGCACATGCAACATGCCCGACGATTTCTTGACAACACAAAAATAACTTATCAAAATACCAACACAAAACATCTAAAAATTGCAGTCCTTATAGATATCAATGAACCTGAAATAAACAACCAACAAAAAATGATTACACCATTACCAACTCGACACCATAATACTAACTCTAATAACAATAAAGAGCAAGGAAATGACGACAACAACAAAAAAGATACGACATCAACTAAGTAACTCATTTTGTCAAGTAACTAACTATGCTTTGAAACTATATAAAGTACACGCAAAGTGCAGCAAAGTACATGGCATGCTTGTGCACAAAATACTGCACTGAAAATGATTCGTGAAAAATCGAAATAAAAGCCTTATTTTACATGGTGAAATTGGATAACAACTGTTTTATTAAGTTTCCATGATGAACTTGGATAATAATTCTATTTCTAATAAATTGAACAATTTCCAGAAAATTCTAGTAAGGAAAATTTTAAAGACAAACTTTAAATTGATTGATGCCAACAATATGGTATAATTCATACAATACTGTGCAAACACACACACACACACCACACACAACACATACTCACACACACACGCACGCACACACACACATATATATATAAACACACACACACATATATATATATAATATATATAGTATTGTTCCGTCTTTGTGTCTTTTAAGTTTGTCTATATAACAATACTATATAACTGCACTGATGATGGCAGTTGATGCCGAAAAGAGCTTTTCTATTTATAATATATATATATATATATATATATATATATATATATATATATATATATATTTACAATATTCTATAAATTCTACCGAATGTTTGGCGTTAATTTAATTTGACGCCTAATCTGACGCCTAATTTCCATCTAAGTTCACTTTGACAAAGTGAATATTTCCCTATATAAACTAAATCGCACTGATGATGATTCATTCGGAATCAAAATATGGCTTTATTTGCAGCATGAATTCGGAAAATAAGTTTATTTTGAATTTTTAATAAACTAAACGTTCACCTAAAAACTTTAGTGAGAAAAATCGAAAAAACGAACTACAAACATATTAACGCCAAAAATTCGGTAAAATTTATAGAATATTGTAAAAATTATGGTCTATTACCAACATATATATATATATATATATATATAATATAATATAAAAAATATATATTATAATATATAAAATATATCTATCCAATCATCCATCGATCCGTTTCATCTATCTATTCAACCAACTACCATCTATCCATTTATTCATTAATTCATCTGTCCATTCATTTCCATCCATTCATTCACTCCTCAGCTCCTTTAGGCTTCCCTGCCATCTTGGAGCCCCCCGTCGCAAAGACAATCGATAAGAACAAGACGTTGCTGCTGCCCTGCCGAGCAGTTGGCGACCCTCAGCCGTACGTGAAGTGGCTCAAGAATTTTCTGCCCATCGATTTCACTGACCCAAGAACAACTCTCATGCCGTCTGGTTAGTTTTTCTACTTTTCATATTTTTTATATTCTGGTAAATTTTGTAACATTGTTCTGCTGAATAAGAAATCAAATTTATGTTATAATACGTTTCGATGACAGATATCTCTAAAGTTGGCCTTCATGATATCGATTATTTTAATATGGATGTCCAGTTATTAGGTAAATTTTGATTCGAAGATGTTAAGAATAAAATTACAAATTAGAAAAAACTGCAATAACGAAATAGGTTGACATTAGCGTTTATGAAAATTATGTGATGTGAGAGAATTTTAAAATGATATTTTTCTCTCTTCTGGAGGTCAATTTGAATTAGAAATGCACTGAACAGTGAATTTTTTCACCAAATAGTAGTTACACTACTCGACTGAAGCCAAAGGTCAAAAACCAAAAAACTTAAAATTTTGAAAAAATTTTATTTAAAAATTTAAATATGAAAAATGCAGGAGTGGATTCATATCTATCCGTTAACGTTTGGGTAAATATGCAACAAAAAAGAAAATAAAAAATAAAATAAAAAAAAATCAACACATTAAAATTAAAGTACCTGCATGCTAACAGTGAATATCTTTGATAATTCTCAAAAATGACTTGCAGCTTCATTTGTACAATTTATATTATCGAGATTACATTCAATGTCTTGTTGAAATTCAGATGTTTTAACTGCTACGATAGCAAAGAAGAATTTTTCACAAATAATATTCAAAAATACAGGAGTTTAAAATAACTAATAGCCTAAACAAAAACTGTCTCTTCGGTCTTTATAAATAGCCGAAGCCGAATGTCAAATTACGTCCAAATATTCGCCCAGGCCGAACGTTAGGGGCATCTCTTGTTTACAAACACCGATAGTTTTTGGTGAGGTAATTTACAGTTCAGCAATAATTGATTAAAAATTGAATCAGCTAAATTATTGAAAAAACCACGTTCATAGGGTGTGTTTTTTATATGATACCATCTATAATGTGTGTTTTTATATGATATTTTTTGATATATATCAAATGGGGAGACGACGTAAGTTGTCGCATGTTGGCCTGCGAGATGGCTCAGTGGTTCAAATGCTCGCTGAGTCAAAGCATCTCAATGTCTATCATATACTCAGCGTATATGATGCGGTGCTTGCGCGTGCTCATAAATACATGTGTACGTCGTGTAAAAAAGATAAACAGCCTTTGTGGCGAAGATGGCTGCTTCAAATCAATGGATGAAGATACGAAAAACATGATAAAAGATATACAAGATAATGTATATGTAATATTGTAAGTGGTTCTGCGTATGTCAGAGCTGCAATAATAAAAAAATCTTCTATAATGTTTAAATGCTTCCAAACAATTTTAAGAAGTGGCGTTTTTCACAGTAAACATAAAATTGGTTGGCTAATAAAAACGAATTTTATCTGAATGATCAAATTGTTTGGTAAAAAGGCTAATTTTCAACTTTTTATTTAATTTTTCACAACTCACATTTTCTGACTTTATCTATTTCCAGGTTTTTTCAAGTTATTTTTTACATATGTTGTTTTTCGAGGTTCTTCATTTTGTTTGGTAAAATCTGTTTGATTGGTTGATTGATTAGTAAAAACCAATTTTATTTGGGTGAACAATTGTCAGCTATAACTGCATGCTAACGATAGCATTTGAGGTCATAAGATTATTTGGTCATAAGGTCATTTTGTCATAAAGTCTAAAATCTGATCATAAGGTCATCTGATTTTTTCAACTTCGAATTTTCAAAATTAAGAAAATCCCTATCAATAGCAAACTAAGGAGCCCTCCTGTTTTCATCGGACCTCATGTCATCACCAGTCAGTCAGGCAGTCTAAAGTTTCATCAGGATATTAAGACTATTTTTTTAAGCGTTTGATTTTTACAATCTTTTCCTGATTAGTAGATTTTATTTATAAAATATTAGTTTCTAGTTTTCTACAATGCCACAACTTTTTCAAAATGTCGTTTAATAATAATAATGATAATAGATTTGAGTGATGTTTGGGCCGAGCTCATCACTGTTTTTAAAATAATGCAAAAATAATTCTTTGTGACGTATATTTAAACAAAGTTTTATTATTGCGAAAGTTTAAAGCCATTGATAACAAATTTTTTACATGTGTGGAGCTGCAGCAATGCAGCTCTGTGAGAACAATAAAATGATCCCAAGTTTCGAGGTGCTGGAACGTCTTCTCCCAGTTAAGTGAAATTTTTTGTATGAAAATGAATCGACAAAATAATGATTTTGAAAAATTGGATCAAAAAGCAAAAGACGTTTCTGCAAATTTTTTATTGATGACAACGTACTTTAATTAATCCTTAGATGATTTTTATCAAAATAAATGTTGACATTTTAAGAATATGTTAAAGAAAATCGGTCGTATAATAACTTTGTGTAAATAAATATAAGTGTGTGTGTGAATTTGTATGTGTGGGTTAGTGTAGGTTCGAGTGGGTGTCGATACGTGTGGATGTGTATGTGTGGATATGAGATTGAGTTAAACCCGCAAGAGACTATGCTAACATGAGGATATCTGGACGTTGTTATTTATTAGCAAACTACATACACGTTACTTGTCGCCAGGGTGGGATTTAAAAAAGGACAGCAACTTTTACTTCTTTCACTTTCACTTTTGCTCGCTAACATTTCTTGGCTCTTTTTACGGCAATGCTTGCATTAAAATAATAATATTGCTCCTCTCGTTAACTCTGTTGTTTAGTTTTTAATTCATTGTATTTGGTTTCACAAAATACTACATTCTTTTTTGAAATAATTTTATTTGTTGGAAATAATTTTGTTAAAACCTTGACAAGAATTTTTCTTTTATTTGGAAACAAGGGGTTTCCACACTTTTACAGTCCCCATGGTCTCCAGAACTCTGAATCCGGCCCGCTTATTGATGACGAACCTCCATGCAGAGTGGAGGAAAATGTAATTAAATTTAGAAAATGATGAATTTGTGGGCATTTGCGTTTCGTATCGTTATGTTCCGTTGTATTCGAGAGCATTTCATATTGTCTCGTTTCATTTGAAGCAGATGTCCTATCGTTTCAAAATAATGTGTAAATGCAAATGATTAAAATTTAGACCAGCTATTGTGTGTGCGTGTATATGTAAACGTGCATATATGTGTGAGTGCATGTGCGATGTGTGTTTGTGTTTGTTTGATTGTGTGTGTGCGTGCGTGTGTGTATGTGTGCGTGTGTGTGTGTGTGTGTGCGTGTTTGAACAAATTTCTCGACGTTCACGAGATGACTTCAACGATTGTTTAATTAGTTATTAAACAAATTTCCTCGTACGTTAATGTTACTAGGAAACGCGCTTTTGCAATTTTACGAGGTCATTAAAGACAACGCGCCTGTGAAGAAGTGTGCAAGTGTTTAATCCCCTCGGGAATGTTGGAACAAAAATCTCCCACAGGATTAATTTTTGGTCGATTTAGAACTTGTTCTGTATAATAAAATAAAGGTCAACTCTTTAACGTTGTAGGTAGCAAGTGGTTTTTATTTTAATGATTGCCCCAAAAATTAAAATACTTTCAAATAGTTATTTTCATAATAATATTTACCCCTAACTTAAAGTGTATGCAGTGGCTTTTCTGGCCTCTCTCCTTTTCTGTAGACGCTCCTTTGCATGGCTGTCGTCACCTCAAACCACACGCACGTACACAGACACACAAACACACGCATACACAACAGATGTGTGTTTACGTTTTTTTTCTTAGTTATTATTTCGTTGTTAAATTTTAAAAATTTAAATTGAATATATGAACAAATTATAAACACTTGTACTGTGCATGGGTTAATGGCAGCGAAATGAATGCGATTATTACAAAGTCTCTCACTTGGGTGCGGTCGTGTGTGAATGGTCATGTGTGTGTATATGTGTGTGTGTGTGTGGGTGGGCGAATTGTCGTTTGTGTGTGTGGTGAGATTGTGTGGTTAGTATGTTTTAGAATTAGATGTGATTTCATGTGCCTCGAATTCGATGCTTTGTTAACGAGTGATGTGGGAGATTGCCGTTGGGGGGATTTGTTGCTGTGCGTGTTTCGTTCTTCATCAGCGCAATGCACAGACATGTCGTGGTATATTAGGCCTGGGGGTAAACGCAGATAGTGTACATGCATAAGTATAATAAGCAGTCTGCAGTTGTCTGTTTGTTCGTCATGTTAACATAACTCCCTGTCAGGATGGTTATCGTCTTAATGAACTCGTCAATGTAATATGTATTGTGATATATATTTGAACAAAAATTGGCACTATCTCAAAGTTTTGATGACGCTGTTTAAAGATTATCTATTAAAAATAATTCATTCAATCTTTTGAAACAATTATTTTATAGCTTTTTTGATGGAAAAAGATCAATTGATATGAGAAACTACAAGTGACAATTTTTGTGGTATATACTTAGCTTCTCCACTAAATACATAAAATCATTACATATATAATAATATTTTTTTAAATACAGAAGAGACAGGTTAACTTTTTAAAAAGTTTCATGTGTTGCATTGTGTTCATACAATGTTTGCTCACTGTTTGTCTTTTGTATGTTGCTGTAAGTTGTTGGATGTTGCTGGATGCTGTGTGTCGCGGAATGTTGTTGTATGTTGTTGTATTATGTGGTTGGATGTTGTTTAGTCGTATAATAACTTCAAGACATCATCTCTCTCTCTCTTTTCTCTCTCTCTCTCTCTCTCTCTCTCTTTCTCTCTCTAGCCTTGTAATTATTTATGATGTTGAAAGATGAAAATTTTTCTGTTAAATAATTAGCGCTGTCATTTTAAAAACAGCTTATTTTGTTTTTAATGTTATTGTTGCTGTTAATGTTATTATTATTAATAGTAGTGGTAGTAATAATAGAAGTAGTAGCAGTAGAAATCGTAGCAGAAGTTTATTCTTTCACAACTTCTCTATATTAAAGCACATAAACGATTTCTTTTGACTTATGAATATTAATGCTAAGCATGATTGGAAACAAAAATCAATGACAAAATGTATAACCTTGCAATTTTTTAGAAATGTTTGTAAAATGTTTAGTCTTTTAGATCATTCTTGATTTTGAGCCTGAAAAAGAATTCTGCTGAGTTAAGCAGATTTGTTGTTGCCAAGAGGGGCTCTGAGCTCAACCACGACTGAAAATTTACTTTGGGTTATCCCGAAATTGAACCAAACATTTATAAATTTTTTTAAAATTTTGACTGAAAAGTTTTCCATCAAATTTTACCATCATCCACAAAAAATTTTGGTTATGCTACCCCATTAACTAAATTGAATATTCTATTTTGCAAAAACCTCACAAATCCTGTTCCTTCGACGAGAAATCGAAAAATGAAGTGTTTAACGGAAATATAGAGCTGTGGTTTCCGCTAATGCTCTAATGACCAAACTTTATCTATTTATAATAGCAAAATATATCTCATCATTTACATAGTTTTATCGTCCTAGCAGAATGATAAAAAATAAAAAAGTGTCATCATTATTTTTCTGGGCGCCACTTGTGTCCTCTCCTCATCGTCATCCTCAACCTCAAAGCAGTGTCACCCATTTCTCCAGCTGCACTCGTAAGCATCTAAATCTCTCTATTTATTTCGATCGCCACATTTATATTTATCATCATTAACCAGTAAGTTGCTTATGATAACACAATAATAGTAGTAGTAGCAGTAGTAGTAGTAGTAGTAGTAGTAGTAGTAGTAGTAGTAGTAGTAGTAGTAGTAGTAGTAGTAGTAGTAGTAGTAGTAGTAGTAGTAGTAGTAGTAGTAGTAGTAGTAGTAGTAGTAGTAGTAGTAGTAGAGTAGTAGTAATATAATAATACTTTTTGTAGCGGTCGTTGTCAAAACAGGCATTTAATTTAGGGTGGTTACCGATCGTTTTTTTAATCCTTCCTCTCTTCCAAAATTTGAAGTACACTTCTCCCCGCCATCCTTCTTTCAGCAGTGGCTGTCGTTCGTTAAAGTGATTTGTTTCGTTTTTTGAATAAATAACTGTTGACGTACTGAATCTAAATGAGATTTCAATACTTTAACTCCTCGATCCTGCCCGGCTGAGAAATAATTTTCAAGCGTCTTTTCACGCAAGTGCGATTTATTAACTGCTGTTTCGTGCCCATCTTCGCCTTATTACGCTATTGCGTTGGCTGGTTATTTCTTTATGGATGTGGTTCATTGTTATCATTTTCTAAATATAGCTTTTAACGTTTGAAATTGTTAACACGTGAACATAAAAATTGATGCTAATTCGTCAATTTATTACGTTTTAATAAATTCATTGATTGATCATTAAAATAATACATTTTTAATTTTATGCTGATTTTTTTGTCAAGGTTTAAATAATGTAGTTAAAAAATGTGGTCTAGATACATTAAGAAATTAGATGAAATCAATTACAACTGTTATAAATACTCATCAGATTATTACTAACTGTGTTGAAGACTCAGAAGAATGTTGAAATTTTCCAGGTGGTCTGGAGATCATGAAGGTGCAGGAGTCGGACGAAGGAGCTTACGAGTGTTACGCCACCAACACGCACGGGGTCATCTTCTCTGACCCGGTCAACGTGCAGGTTAAAGGTCAGATGCATTCTTGACATCTTCATTTTCGCATGCTTCATTACCTTAATTGTGGATCTTTTTGAATAATGGTATTGCATTTTGATATCAGATTTTATAAATATGCGATGTTGTTCTCTAAATATTTCTATTTTCATAGAAACTTAACTGTGCGAATGATGTAAATTCTCTGTGTTAATAATAAGCGGCAAAGTTCATTTAATGCACGTGTGATGGGATCAACTAATTGATTCACAAGCATTACAAGTATCTGATTTTTGCAAACTCAAGCCTCACTTACTCGTTCAGGTAGACGAATTCCTCCTCAGTTCTTTGATGAACTGCCTCGAGATGTGTTTGTTGAGGTTGGCGAAACGAGAGAAGTGGCGTGTGCCGCAACTGGGAATCCGACACCGCGCATCAAATGGCTTCAGATCGCTAAAGAAAATAGGGCCGAAACTGTTTTGAATCAGGAAACAAGTAGCGAAAATGTTTTAACGTTGAAAAATATACGAGAGTCCATGGAGCTAAGTTGTGTTGCCAGGTCTGAAATGGGAATGGTGGCTCAAGCGGTGGATGTTCACGTCATTTGTTAGTTCAATCAACAAATATTTTATTCCTTTTTATTTGAATATATATGATTTCAATAGCACATTAATTAACGGCTTATAAATATGCGCTGTTGTTGTCTAAACACTTAACACACACACTTGATGAGTGTGTGTGTTAAGTGTGCAAACGAATACTCATATATGAGTGCGGTGCATGCATGTGTGAATTGTTAAAACTATTTAATTCTTATTTAGAGCACATATTTTTAATTGCATCCGCCTAATGCCCACAACCCGGTCGGACATTTATGCTCTTAAAATCTTTTCAAAAACTGCATCAGCATTCAGGCAAGGTACATCATTTAGAAAATGCCTGTCCTCCTTTCATAACCTTCAATTCCAAATCACCGTTTTTAGGCAATCCCTTTTTTCTCACCACGAACTCACAAAACTCGCCCAATTTTCCATCGCCAAATCAAAATTTGCAGTCGTCGGCAGGCTGCCCTCTGCAGGTTTGAAACAACCAACCACTGAAACTCAGAAATATTAAATCTGCCAGACTTGAAAAAAATGACTCAAGCTTGCAGATGCTGGCTCCGAGCACCTCTGAGGCAGCTGGACCTTTGCGCATAATAAATCGCCACGTTGTTTATTATTATTATCAGTTGTAGTAAAAGTTATAATTGTTATTATGAATATTAAGCAATTTAATAAAAGTGAATAAAGTTTGACATCTAGCCGGAACTCTGCATCTGCATCACTTTTACTTAATTGCTTTAACTTCGTGAATAGACGATAAATTTTAAATCAGTCAATGATTTAATAGAATTCTTAAAAAACTGTTGTGGTCGATAGTGATATTTCTCGTTGACTTAAAATTTTTTCTCCATTTTGGCAAATTTCACTGAATTCAATATACTTATCCTTATTCATTTGATCATTTAATGGCGTTGCTATGACTGCAATTGACTTGAATTAAATAACGTTGCTGAAAGTCTGTCTTTTACCTTTCTTTAATTTTACCAATTTGTTTGTTTTTTCTTGTATAATTAATTGAATATCATATATTTTATAAAAATTAAATGCTATCTCATGTTGACAAAATTGTTGCAGCCTACCCAGTACCACCGCGCAACGTGCGAGCCACCTCAGTCAATTCAACATCGGCCAAAATAGAATGGATCCAAGAGAGCCAACACGCCACCAACAAACCTTCGCCACATCAGAAACAGGACTACCGACCGCAGCAGCAACAACCGCGCCACCATCTCGGCAACACTCAGGCGCTACCAGTCAATGTTGATCATTGGTATGTGATCGTACAAACAGTTGCTGACAACAACATTCAAACAATGAACAACAAATCGGTGACCGCAACAAATCAAAGCGACAGAATCTTTCACAAGTGGTTTAGCATAAAAGACTTGAAGCCATTCACGACGTACCACGCCAGAGTGGTGGCGGTCGGTGGCGGGGGCGAGAGCAATCCAAGTTCTCCCGCCCAGTTTACCACGCAGGAAGAGGGTTGGTTATTGAGATGTAAAAATGTGTACTACTGGCAGACTACCGTTTTAAAAATTTGCACAAGTGTATGGCAAACTCTTAAGATAAATTTGAATTATTTCTTCAATTTTTGATTTATAAAAACAGTTTGTTAGGATGTTTTATTATCGATTGGTGCTTTGTAAATTTATTTAGCAAATCAATGCAGATCAGTGGAAGTTTTGGTCGATATATACTCACTTCATCACGTTACCATGGCATTCTCACTCATCCACTCACTCACTCACTCACCACTCACCTTTTCACCCACTACCACCACACTACCTGGCAGTCCCACCAGCCACTCCTGGCGTCAAAGTGCAGTCCAACGCTGACGATTCTTCGGTCCTCGTACAGTGGAGTGAATGCAATGCTATCAACGGAGCTATCAAGGTTAGACATCAACCATCATGACTGCATATGATAGAGATGATGATGTTAGTGATGATGATGATAGTGGTGATGATGATAGTGATGATGATGATGATAGTGACAAAAAAGATTGTAATGCTAGGCATAAGTTGACGATGAAGCTTTCTTTTAAATATTTTTAAATGATGTTTCCATTATATGAAGTTCTTCATCAAGTAAGCTTCATTAATACGATACCATTCGATGAACACCAGTGCATCAACAAGCACAGATGTACCTGTTGGGTACTTGTTCATACGCATAAAAATTATATCTCTAGAACATTTTTGAGCGGCTAACAAGGTAAATATGTCATTAATCCTTTCAGTTTTTCGTTAAAAATATTTGCAAAAATTATTTTCATGAGAAGTCAGACAAACATTTAGTGAAATTTTTTGAATGGTGCTAATCACATTAACAAGCATTCGTGCTGTGTTAAGTCAAATGGTTCGAAAGTTAAATTACTAACAAGATCGAGGAAATTAAAATTTTATCAATCAATTTTCAACCAATATTCGAAGATGGCGAGTTTCATTAAAACTACACGTGACCATAACATCTGCTCTGTCAATCAATTTTATTGCTTCGTAATAGGAGGCGTACGTGCAAGGAGCATAATTAATGGATGCCATTTATGTGTGACCTCGTATGTGTGACCTCGTATGTGTGACCTCGTATGTGTGACCTCGTATGCGTGACCTCGTATGTGTGACCTCGTATGTGTGACCTCGTATGTGTGACCTCTCAGTCTTTCCAACAACACTTTAAATATGTCGCTCAACTGAAAAAAACAACTCCAAAGATTGGTGCCTAGAGTTGAAAAAATTTGGCTTAAATCATTTCTGACGAAATTTTTGAATTACTTTTGAAACCTTGAAAAATAAATTACAAGATATGTGGGCGAAATTTTTTAACTTTGATGTCAGTAGTGCGGTTCACAAAGCCAGTGACAGAGTTCTCTTAATTGGTTTGGTTTGTTTTGTTTAATGGTTTTACATCTGAAAATTAATAAAAAACTCATCACATGACAAAGGTCGTCTGGTTTTGTAAGATAATTAAAGCTTGTGGCAGTGTGGCTTCTGCCATTATATTGATTAGCGGAGAAAAAACAATTTTTTAATTAAAATGTTGGTTCATTTTTAATTCTATTTAAACGACATGCAATCCAGGGCTATAAAATTCGCCACTCCACTTCGCTGACGACCCACCAAACCAAGTGGCAGACCCTGAAGACGTCAGCCAACCACCGCAACCTCACCCTGGAGAACGTTGACTTCAACAAACCTTTGTACGTCTGCGTCGTCTGCTTCAACAACGCCGGCGATGCTCACTGCTCAGATCCCGTCCACCTCGCTCCCAACGACCTCCAAAACAGCCACAACTTCCTCGCTCCTGATGATGATGATGATCAAGGTTGGCTGCTCGTCGTTTTCATGTCGCATGTCTATTGAGTGTCTCGCAGCGGTTGCTTGCTTGAATGTTTGTTGTTGGTCCTCGTTTTGTTCTGTCCACTGTTTATGTGTGTGGTTCTGTGTATCTGTGTGTGTTCGAGCGATGAATGCTGTGCTGTCGATTGTAAGTAATCCAATGAGGATTATTTTTATTTGATGTTCTTATTTTTAATTTATTTTTTGAAATGTATAAATTTTTAAAATATCAAATTTAAACGTATGAGGAGCCGCAAAGTTGAGACAAAACGTTATAAAAACAAACTTTTGAAGTTACCATCGTCAGTTTTCATTGAAATATCATCATCGCCGTGCTACGCTGCTGTCATAAATCGCTCATATCAACAAACAAAAAACTGATGGTGTAAAATCCGATGATGTTTTATCGCCTTTTTATTTAAATGTTCAATGTTCCTCCTGCAATCTCCACGTGTAAATCAACGTGCACGCGCTCCAACCTCCCATCCGCCCAACGACCGGGCGGCTAACGAGGCAGACGCCGACTGAACCTGCCACTTTCACTGGAACATTCGAACCTGCGCAGACGCATGGCAGTCGCCATTTTGTTTCTTTCCATGTTTCGCAATCGCCGATGAGAACAAGAAAACAATTTGATTGCATGCTTGTACGGAGATTGTCTTAGCAGGATCAATGTGCTTCAAGCTCAAGACCAACAATTTGAAAATTGTTGATAACAAATAGTTTGTTAATTAATTAATCAGTAATTATGAACAAGTTTACAGAAATTTTATTGTTGATTTGCTTACATGTGTTTGTCGATAAGTGTGTGTTTGTGTGTGTGCATGTGTGTGTGTGTGTGCATGTTTGTGACGTGACGGTATAGCGTGCGTGAAATCGTGTGCTTTCTACATTCACACTCAGACATACCAACACAACGATCGATTCCAAAGGAAAATATAATTAAGAATGCGTGCTGAAAATTCAATCGATCAACGTAAGCGTTGTCGGGGAATGATTTCGATCACGTGTTCACGTTGACGTCACGTGGTGATGCTTGTCATCTTGTGATGACATCATATGAATGATGTCATCTTGCCATTAATGCCATCGACCTAATCACGTGATTGATGTTATGGTTGACATCATCACGTGATTATTATTATTGGCGTTATTATAATTAGACCAATAATGATATGGAGCGGTTAATTTTTTCGAAACACCCCCTTCTTCCACGCCAGCGAGGTGGTCTTCTTTGGGGCATTTCGAGGAATTCCATGACGTAGCACGCTCGTGAAGAATTTAATTAAATTTTGGTAATTGGAAAGTGCTTTTTAAAGTGACAGTTGAATGTTTCCAAAGAGACAGTTACGTTTTTTGGTCAATGATGGTTCATGGTGAGAGGCTGAATGGACAAACGCGTCTGGTCATCCTAATTTTTTTTAATTTTTCTTAAAATCCAGAACCTGACAGGGGAGAGATTGCTATTGAAGTGGCTAAGTTTGAATGCAAGAAGATCCCCACCCACCACGAGTAATGTGATGTGTGGGTGGTGCGTGTTGTGAGTGCATCGGTTACATCAATGATGAAATGAAGAAGGAGAGGCACTGTTATTAAATTTATGAGCACGGAGCATGTCAGGCGACTGTTTGATAGGAAGCGGATGTGGCTGCCGCATTTACGACTGCAACACACGCACTGTAGCAGCAACAATGCATCATCATCATCAAACAAACAAACGAACAAAAACAATAGAAACACAACAACATCAACAACACTAACACGCAATAGAAACACAATTGCTATCATGTAAAATACACCACCCCTCCTTGAACACCACCCCTCCTTGAACACCAGGGAATGTTTTATTTATCCACTATGTAAAAATGTGATTGGGAAGAATCAATAAACCAAACAAATTAAATATTAATAAGTTTTATAGTTAGTTGGTAGTAACAACGACGCTAAGCATTACCAACTTTAAGAGAAATGATCTACGTGCGTTCCAACTGTCTTTCATTTTCATGCCAGGCATCAGCTTTAATGCTTTTAATTTCATTCGTACAACTTCATGAAGAACTTAGAAAATCACCCACTCACCCCACCACTCACCACCTGGCGATTACGAACATGCTTCCATTCCTCATCGCCATCATCATTCTTCATCATCATCTTCCTGATCATGCATCATCATCATCAACCACCAACCAGCTAACCAATCAACTAGCCAACTAACCAGCCAGCAAATAAACTCCGTGCCAGCACAAAGTGAACTTTATTATTTGACGGACATCATCCACCCGACGAACACGAAGGCTCCGTGTTCTTTCCTGGCATCCTCCTAACAGCACTTGGAATCTCTGAATCTTCCTCCCAAGCAAACAAGCACACGAGACAAGCGCTCCTTTGAAGGATTGCTTCGAGAACATTCTTCATCTTGCAAATATTTTTCTTTGCAGAATGTTCTAAGTTCTAAGAGAATTTAAAAACAAACTTTAGCGGAATGGCGTTGGATGGTGTTGCCTTGCAGATACGGCCTGGTGTCAATGATGAGAACGTCGGTGGTGGTGAGTAATGATAGAGTGGCTGCTTCTTTTTATATTCGTTGTTTATTGTTTTTTGTTTTTTGAAAATGTCGCAAGATTTGCTAATTTAATAAAGTTTCAAGAACTCCAACTCTGAAAGGGTGCATTGTATTAAAGTTACTTTAATGCTTACTACAGGAATTGCCAGCGAACTAACTCATCAGCATCGGCATAATTTATTTCACTGCATTGTGAATCAAGGAAGATGAACAAATTAGCGAAATGTAATCTGAACATCAAACAGTGAACGCGAATTCAATCAAACCAATTGAATCAAAACAATTAGTGCTGCAACATCAATCAGAGCGGGCCAAGACAGACACGCACAAACATGCCATCTTGAGTCGAACACGTTACAACAAGCATGTACGTACATGTATTGTGTGTACAGGCATGTCGTGCAAGACACATGCAGACGTGCATCTTTTCTTCTTTATAGGCTATTTACTGCACATGAAAGTGTCATTGAAATTGTTGATGCGTTTTTATGTATTTGTTCAGATGTCTCATTCTTTCTTCCTCACATCTCAACCTGCCTCGGTGATATGTGTACTACTTTCATTAATGCATGCATGCGATGTCTTTCAATGTTGTTTATGTGCGTAGTCTGTTTATTCATCACGTTATTTTATTTTGGGCACTCAAAATTTTTCCACGAGTTTTTACCGATCGGAACGAGTGAGAATTCAACAGCATCTCATTCCTCAGCTTTGAAATTTATCATTAATTTTTCAGATACCTAAGACAGAATTAATATGTATAAACATGATTTTTGTCAATAAATAATAAAATTTCGTAAAACATTCATGTTGGTTGTCGCTGGGAGGAACACGCCGTGTAAGACAAGCAAAGTTAACATGTCCTGGTATCGCAACAGGAAATTTTTTGAGATCAATGCAGACGGTTTTAAGCAATGGAATCTGCTGCCCACCTATCTATGCTAGATATATTAATCTGATTAATATTGATCACGTCGTTGAAGTTATTCGCTTCAAAAACAAAAATGTATCTGCCTAGTTATGCATTTTGAATACTAACTGCTGGCAAATTAATATTACCTAAAGTCTGTTAAACGGTTGTTTTTACATTGGAAGCCTGCTTGTATGTGCATTCGAATGGAAAACCTTCAGAAGCCGATGTTGAAGATAATTATTGAGTTGGATCATATGACTTGGATTCCAAAAATATTATGATATGATACAAATTTTTTATCTATCTAGCTATTATTTGCTTCGCTTAAATTACTTGAAACAGTTATTTTCTGATTTCGTTGAATATTGAAAGACTCGAGTGGTTAAAAGTTGGCGAATGTGTTAATTTTAGAGAAGCAGGTGCAACTGAGAAAATCGGAATCGTTGGTGCCTGTTTTTGTTCGCGTCAACGTTCATTCCTATATACATACCTGGCTTAACCAAACTTGAAACATTCCAATTTGATGACTTACAATAATTTTTTCAAGCAATTTACTAGGGATTTCAAAATATTTCTAAGCATTTTACTAGGGATTTCAAAATATTTCTAAGACAAAGACTGATTGTAATAAATGTCAAACGACTAGCAAGTATTTTATTGAAAAATAACAAAAATAGTTAAACATATTTTCACTAAACTAAATTTATTTTTAAAATATCACATTTGTTTAATAAGAAGAATAAATTGAGACAAAATGTTACAATCATTTTTTTAAATCATTATTATTTTAATAGTTTTTTAATATTTATATCAATTATTTTTTCATTTTTCATTCTTTCTACTCTACAACATGCTTAGCCATCCTTTCTTTCATTTACTTATTTACGTGCATTCCTTCTGTCGTACGTGTTTCTTTTCGTCCTTTCAGCTTTTGTTAATTCGCTTCTTTGCCCATTTCGCCCACTCGGTTGGTCGGTCGGTTGGCTCGCTTGTTCATCCGTGCGTTCATTAGCTTTCATATCTCCTGAACGTTTGTAAGGTAATCAAAAAATACTTTCAGAACCGTTTCAGACATTTATATTCATGAGCCACAAACAAATATCCTTTCTCATTAGAAATTTTCGCTCGAGCAGTCAAATCAAAATTAAACAAAGAAATAAATTTTACAGTGTCATTATTTTTTCAACCACATACAAATATCTCACACGCACGCACACACATATATACACACACACGCATATATATATATAAATATATATATATAGTTTGTTTGTGTATTTTGTGTTAGGTTAAATTCATTTTGCTCCGTGTTATTTTAGCTTTTTATAATTTAAAATTAAGTTTTTGTGATTAAATTTAATTACGCTGAAATTATAAAATTCTGCCGAATGCATTCTTATAATTTTTTTTCGTTGGTTAATTGTGGTTAATTTTGGGTTAAATTGATTAATTTCCATTTAATATAATCTAAAGTCGTAGTTAATTATAGAGGTAAAAATGATAAGTCTCATAGGATAGTCATATTATTTGTGCTGCGAGTTATTTTTTTTTAGTTTAAAGGTTAATTTGAAAGTATGTAATATGCATAGTTGTGAAAACAACGAAAGACGGCGTCAACCAAGCTGTTGTGAATATTTATTTCACGCTAAATGTGTTAATGTCGATGAAGAAATAGTGTCACTATTGAGTAGGAAAAGCAGTATCAAATGGTTTTGTGAGCAATGACCGAAGGCCCAAAGTGATACAAAGGATATGGTAAAGTCGGTTGTAGATAATTTTAATGAAAAAATCGAGAAAATTGAAAAAATAAACAGTGCAGTTCAGACTCAGACGCAATCAAAACCATGATCAGTAAAAATTTTGATAATTTGACTGTGCTGGAAAAGCAGGATATAAAAATGGTTGATAATATTTGCAGCCTCAAAAATTACCTGAAAGCTTCATGGGCGAGCATTGTTGAAAACAATTTAACAAAAAATGTAGAAAGTATAAACAATCAGGTCAAAAACGTTCTGGCGCCTTCAAATAAGTTCAATCTCGCCAATTTTAAAGCAACTACATTGGTTGCCTATCAAAAATTGAGTTCTGTTTAAAACTTTTGTAATAATATTCAAATGCATCAACAACTTGGCACCTAGATATTTAATAGACAAAACAGCACGAAAAGCACCTTATTATGTCAGTTTGCAATCTGATGATTCAAATTTCCTAACGGTACAGACGAGCCAGTTAAGAATAGTTTCTAGAAATTTTGCTGTTTTAACTCCTATGATACGGAACAATTTCCCAAGCCAAATTTCCCAACTGTGTTGTTAATAAGATTGCCTTGTGATTTATATTTTATAAATAATTTAAATGTTTTTCCAAAAATTAATTTCAAAACTTTTTATTATATATTTTATTGAAACTTTAAATCAACTTTATCAGCACACGAGATAAAAGAAATACGTTAAAAAGCGCCCGGAAAATTTATGAGAGCTTGTTTTAAATTTGCTTTTTGAAGAAAATTTGAAACGGCGTCGGAAGGACGAATCTCGACGAACTGGACGAATTAAAATAAATCGCGAATTGCTTTCAAATGAATGAGCGAGTTTCATGCGTCGCCATCACTTACTGCTTCGTTTAAGCAAACAACTTCAATCCTGCTTGCTTGCTTGTTTGACCAGCACTTCCATTTTCTTCCATAATATTAAAATATTATACAGATCGCTCTTCATGATTTGGAAAATGATTCATGCGACTGTCGTTCTATTGTTTTGTTGCTTTGTTATTTCATTGTTTTGTTGCTTTGTTGCTCTGCCACTTTCATATTAATCATGAACGAATGATGTGATCACTACAAATGATGAATGTCTGTTGAAGGCACTATACTAAAATTAAATCGTGATGCTTGAAGATAGATTTTTACCACCTGCTGATTATTTTGTTAAAAAATAAATTCAAAACATTTCGAAATATTTGAAAAATTATTTCGATTTAATCAAAAATTACTTAAAATATATTTTATTTCATAAAAATATTTTTAGATAATTTGGGTTTATTGGAAGGTGTTCCTTTTCGAAAGGTCTTCCTGCAAGATGAAGATTATTTTTTCATGAATAGTCGACGACTATCAACAAACCGAGCTTAATAATAAATTTATTTCTATAACGGTCAGTGTAGGCTTTAAATCATTCGACCAGTAAATATGAAAGAATAGAAATAAAAAATGTAGAATTTGCAGTAGGTTGGAAAACTTAAAAACGTTTGAAAACATCAGAAGCATGTGTATCCAGACAAACGATTGTCTAGCTAGCAGAAAAATATTTGCTGCTCTTCAGAAATGCTATCTGACAAATTGGAGCGCGAACTGCTTGCAAGAAATGATAACAAAAGCTGGCTGCTTGTCACATTAAAATCTTGTTCACAAAAGCTTTCGCAACTCATTCTTCCAACAGTACATGAAAATTTATCAATATCATTCGTTAATAGGGGTCTCGTGGCCGAGGGGTTAGCGTGTTCGTCTACCACTCCCACGACCCTGGTTTGAATCCTACAGTTTCTACAGGTTTATCCGAGTAGCCGACCATCAGCCAACCCAGCCGTCCATCCTTTCGAGGCTATTAAATGGGTAGACAACGTAAGTTGTCGCATGTTGGCCGGCGAGATGGCTCAGTGGTTCAAATGCGTGCTGAGTCAAACATCTCAATGGCTATCATATACTCAGCGTATATGATGCGGTGCTTGCGCGTGCACATAAATACATGTGTACGTCGTGTGAAAAGGATAAACAACCTTTATGGCGAAGATGGCTGCTCCAAATCAATGGTTGAAGAAACGAAAAACATGATAAAAGATATATAAGATAATGTATATGTAATATTGTAAGTGGTTCTGCGTATGTCAGAGCTGCAATAATAAAGACTAAAAAAAATATGCACACCTTCAACATATAAATATTCAAATTATTCAGTGATTTGTTCGATAATTTATAAATGCATTTTATTTTATTTGAATATAAAGTATGCAGCTGAGAAGTGTTACTGAAAGTCATATCATCGTTACAAATCATGGAACTGTGAGATTAACCCGATGAAGTAAATGTATGTAAGAAATAAAATGCGAAGTATAGCATGAGATGAAAGTGAATATTGATGAGCATGAGTAACTGAGCATGTACGTGTCCAAGTGCGATCCTTGATTGATATCTTGCCAGTCAGTCAGCCAGACAGCCAGTCGGTCAGCCAGCCTGTACCAATGAAGCATGAACGATGAACTACCTTTCACTGCTTCTCTACATCTCTCTCTTTTCATCCCTCTCCTCCTTTTTTGTCTTTTTTCTTTCATTTTTTGTACTGCTTTTTTGCTCTTCATCTTCCTACTCTCACTGGATGCGTCTGCACTACTCTGATAAGAACGCCTCAAACATTTTCTTCAGATTATTCACAAAACTCTTTGCATGTGTGTGTTGTGTACGTGTAGTGGTGGTGTGTGTGTATGTATGTAGTTATGTACATATTTATATAGCGTATGCATTTGTATTTTAATGTTGCATATAAGACGTGTGCGCGCGGATATGTAGGTGGATGTGTGCGACCTGTGCAAGCAGCGTCCATTTTCTGTTCAGTTGCTCTTTCGTAATAAGGAATAATATTAGGTGAATATTTTTCAATTGATGTTTGTGAAAGAATTTTTAAATGTTTCAGTTGCTTTAATTAATTATAATAAGACAACTTCACCCAAACACATGTTCTTCACTTTCCCACACTGCTGTTTTATTAAAATAAATTTTGTTTTTTTTTACAAGAAACGTTTTATTAAATGCCTTGCTCTGCAATATTTCTGAATCGTGAAGAACAGGAAACGTCTCATAAAAAATAATCCACCAAAAACACACATGTAAACTATTACACAGTTTAAATAACTTGTTTCTCGTATTTTTATTTTCACGAATTTCCAATGCCTCTATCCACCAAACAGCTAGCCAACACCAGGACTCAGGAGCCAACTTGATAGCACGGAACAATCCCGCGGCGGAACGGGAAGTCCTGCGCATCCTCCAGATTACCGCCATCAGCTCCCACCAAATCAAAATCAAGTGGTCCTTCTCTGCACCTCCCGACAAACTTGCCAGAAATAATTACGGAGGGTTTCGAATTTATTACTACCGGATTCAAGGTCTTCATCATCATCACCACCACCACCACCAGCCACACCAACCACAAAACGTCGACATGGACGACTCGCTCTCGATCGACAACAGGGAGGAGGTGATGGTGGAGGACGTGCAGGCGAGGGAGGTGCTGCTGCAGAACCTCATCCACGAAACTTACTACGACGTGTATATGGCGGTCGTCAATAAACACGGAACTGAACTCTGCGTCACTGAACGAAGACGTGTTCGAACGAAGCCTCTAGGTTGGTTGGTTGGTTAGTTGGTTGGTTGATTGGTTTGTTGATTGTTTTGCTGGTTGGTTGGTTGGTTGGCTGGCTGGTTGGCTGGTTGGTTGGTTGGTTAGATGGTTAGTTGGTTGGTTGGTTGATTGATTGGTTGGTTGGTTGGTTGGTTGGTTGTTTGGTTAGATGGTTGGTTGATGGCATAAACATTTGTAAATGATAAAAATAAAGAATAAATTTGTATTTTAATTTATATATTTATTTATGAAAAACACAACAACAAAAAACAACAACAATAGCAAAAACAACAACAACATAGTTTTGATTTAAACATTCGCTGTTCGAGTCGGCATGCAAACAGTTCATCGTCTCGTTAACCACTTGAATGATCCGATTTCATATTTTTGCACATTAAAAACATACGAACAACACACGAACAACACTTGAACAACATACGAACAACATACGAACAGCACATGAACAACACACGAACAACATTCGAACACGTGTGTTGTTCATATATTGAAATTAAAAAATAAAATAAAATATGCAATCACGACTTACTGTAATGAAGAAATATATTTGGTGTTGTTGTTGTCGTTATTGTCAACAACAACAACATTATCAACATCAACGACAACATCAACAAACGACATTAATAACAGCAGCAGCAGCAACAACAACATTAACAACAACAACAACATCAACGAACCATTAAACAATGAACATCTGTGGAAGAAAACAGCATGTCTTCCGTTAACAACTCAATTTAATCACTCCTGACTGTGGTTGTTGTTGTGATGGCGGTCGTTGTCGTTGTTGTGGATGTTATGGTTGATGTTGTTGTTGTGGTGGTTGTTGTTGTTGTGGATGTTATGGTTGATGTTGTAGTTGTGGTGGTTGTTGTTGTGGATGTTATGGTTGATGTTGTTGTTGATGTTATGGTTGATGTTGTTGTTGTGGTGGTTGTTGTTGGTGATGATGTTATGGTTGATGTTGTTGTTGTGGAGGTTGTTGTTGTTTTTGTGTTTTTGTGTGTTGTTCGTGTGTTGTTCATATGTTGTTTGTTTGATAACGTGGTGTTGACGATGGTTTGTTGTGTTCTACAATTTCAAAAAATGTCGTTGCGGTTGGATGAATATGTTTCCGTGGCTGCTGTTGTGTTGATGATCTATCGGGTTTCAAAATTAATGTAGTTGTTGATGTTCTTGTTGTTGTGTTGTTGGGTTGTTTGTGCGTGTGCGTGCGGATGAAAACGCTGATGTTTAACTTTTAGTTTTCTTCTACAGCTCCGACAAATGCAGTGCAGTTCTCACTATAAATTTACTGAAGTGGAAAATTCTTTCCAATTAATTCCTTTCAATTCCCATAATTTTCTTTTCAGTCTGGCTTACTCCTCAGTGGCAACCATGGTATACTTTTGAAGATGTCGCGGGTACAATTACGGATTTAATGACACTGTTTTTGCGTGGTTTGAGTCATATCTGACGGTTTCTGACAGTCAGATATGACTTTGACAATTTGCCTAAATTCACCCTTTTAGGCAAATTCGCATTCAAGTTATAAATCCAAAAATCATGCCTCCATGCCGCTTAGGAACGAGCAATAAACATCTGCCCGAGTTGAAAGCCTGCTGGCACGACGTGGAACTTATTATAAATCGCACACGTTCAGACAGATTGCATTGATATTCTTAATGCAACTCAATCCAACTACATAGACCAAAACGACAAATTATTTCGCGGCTAGCCAGTGAAAGGTTTTTTCTAAATTTTCTTCAAACTTTGAAGCTGCATTGTGCTGTGAGAGTGATTTCATACAACTGATGTCATCTAATAAATGTGTTTTATGTTCTTGTTGTCAATGTGTTGTTGTTGCTGATGTTAATATTTGTTGTTGACTTTGCTTTTATTTTTGTTTATGTTGTAGTTGATGATGATGATGATGATAGTGATGATGTATTCGACTTGCAGCAGCACTGACTTGTTACCGTTAGGCAGACACATGCAGTTTTCTGTTATATTAACTTTCAACGTTATTATCACAAAGATCCATTTCTTTCAACTTGCATAATAAAACTTCTCAGAAACAAATAAAAAATTTAATTAGTTTTGGGTATTGTGGAAATTTAATTAAAAACCAAAACCAAAAAAGTAGGCCTAAAATTGTTTATTCATTATTTGAAAATTATTTAAGAGGCTTTGGTACTTTTTGTGTTTTTGGTGCATTAAATTTTTCGCCGACGAACTTCTCTTTCAGTTTTCATTTTGTTCGTTCGTTCGTTTGTTTGTTTGTCTGTTTTTTCGTTCGTTTGTTTGTTTGTTTGTCTGTTTGTTTGCTCGTTCGTTTGTTTGTTTGTTTGTTCCTTCGTTTGTTTGTTTTATGTTATTACAGCTATTAAGTTGAAATGAATACCGTCTTCCCATTGATTTTGCTTAATTGTTTTTGTTGTGGTGTTCTGATTGGCTGCCTGGGTCCACGTGATCAATCGCTGACGAATGGCGTTCATATTGTGCTGCTGATGTTGGTCTAATGATGATTTCATCAAATGTCTTCCTTCATTGTTTGTTTTTCGTGTCTTTTCGTGTGTGCGTGTGTTTTTGAGTATGTGTGTTTTTGTTCATTTTGATCTTGTTGTAGGTTATTGTTTTATACGCACACACACTAGCACACACACACACAAATATATATATATATATACACACACGCACGTACGAATGATACCTTGGCGTCCGGTGTATTGATAGCAAGTTAATAACGATATGCAAATGTTATGAAGGAACGATCTACCGGACAATGGGGGATGTCTTTTGTAATCTCCTGGCTGCATCACTTTCTTTTATTCGTTCTGAAGATGGCACGATTGGCACTTGACGGAGAGCCGACCATCAATAAGACAACGCTGCAATGTCTACATTGCGATGGACTATCAGTTAGACAACGCTGTGATGCCAGTGGCGGGCCTGCTGGCTGACGGTCATCGGGAACGTTATAACGATCATTTTCACATTTTTAATGTCTCTCAAACGAATAACTAACTTCAGTTGTTTAAAATCATGCATAACTTAGACAAAATTGATTTAAATAAACGCGAGGTTAAAGTTTGAAATATTTCAAAAAATTAACAAGATTTGACAGCGTTCTCTTTGGATAACCTCCAAAACAGCATTACTGCTACTAATATTACTAAAGAGGTTAAAAGCTTTGAAAATTAGCTACATAACTCTTAAATATGAAATCATCGACATGAATTTTCTTCTCGGCACAATGCATTCTTCAATGGCCGCGATGTTGAACATTCTCAACTCTGCAGTTAATGGGCGATAGAGTGCAAAGTGCACCTGCCTTTCTGATTCTATCCTGATGCGCAGCCGCCTCATGATGGGTGTCTCATTTGCTGACTCACTGGAGCGACAAACTACATGCACCTTGATTTAACGGCCACCAAAGACATTAAATACTCGGCACACAGAGTTCCTTTCAACGTGGCCAATAACAAGCAATCTCAAATCTCTGCCCCTTCGTTAGATAATATATCTTTGCAAACTGAAGAATATCAGAATATTTTAAGGTGTGTGTGTGTGTGTGTGTGTGCTGAGTTTGTTAATAATAATATTCGCTAATCAGATTAATTTATATTATGGTTAAAATTGTTAACGTCAATTGTTTACTTCCAACTGAAAGAAACATCCTTCCCGCGCACTGCACACAGACCTTTCAATCGTCAACGGACAACGTGAACAAACTGAAATCAATTTATCAAGTGACACTCAATGCCAACCAACAAACAATTTAATGCCAATGATGTTGATGACGATCAAAAGTAATAACAAAACTTTAACAATAATAATAATAATAACAACAATAAAATAAAAATATTATTTTTATTATTTATTTTATATTTTTGTATCATCATATATTGTTGGAATATTTTTTCCATTCGTGAATGCTATATAGCCGTTCTTTGTGAACGATTGAACAAATTTTTCAAAATAGGTCATGCCAGAAAAACTTGCTTCCTTTTAAAACTAAAAAATATTGTGAAATAACAAATAAAATTAAAATAAAAACCAAAATATATAAATGTATATAAAACTTTTCTGCAGATAAACTCTTTTTAGAGCATGAATAATTGCATCACAACTTGAAAATTAATTTAATTTTTGATAAAGTTTTGTAACGGGTGCTTCAAATCCCTCCCTTGTGAAGGTGCCACGTGTCGTAAGGCTCAAAAATTCATTTAGTATAAAACTAACAAAACTCATTACAAATGGCCAAGAATGAACAAACTTTTGACCAAATATTTTTTCTCATATAATTTGAAAATGGAAACATTAAATAATTTGTATTTACACTGATTTAGCGCGCAATATTAACAAAACTAAACTTTATTAGACGCTAGAAAACTTTCATCACAATGTTAAAACTCACCCTCTCCCTAAAAAAACCTCCATTCAAAAAAGTAGACAACTCAGAAACAAGGGAGGCCATCTATTGATTAATTTTGTTATGGAGCAATATTTGGAAGTAAATGCTTTATCATCGTGGGATCTTGAACGTGCGTCGGCCAGGAAATCTTTAATGCGGACTTGCCAGCCTGGACACAGCACGTTATCGTCGGCATGCATTTGCTGCCTACGTAAGCCTCTCCGCGTACGAGTACCAGCAATTATGCAGCCGCAGAGAATGTTTGCAGTGGCAATAAAAGAGATTGGTGCTTTGCAGTTGTTGTTGAGAGGCGATCCAGTCTCCCGCGATGATGATTGCATACGTTTCAGGCAGAAAGATACTCGTCATAAAAATTTATTGCCTCGTCGAGAAATTTCAACCATGTGTATGTGCACTTCCCTTGTTTGAACGAATGTCATGCAAATATCATTCAGATGTATTTTTCGTTGAGATGTATTTCTCATTATATCTTTACTGCATTCAACTGGTGATGGCGGATGTGCGTGTCTACTCTACATGTTCCCATCCAACTGCATCCAACAAATATGTGTTGTTAGTTTAACTGCTATTTAGATTTGTTTTAAAATTTAATTCAATCGAAGCAAATTATTTATCAACATAAAAACAAAACCATGGTAATACATTGATGATAATAACCCAAATAAAAATAGTTTTAACAGCAATAATAATAATAATATAAATAATAATATTTGTGTTGATAATAATAACACTATTATTATTATTATTAAATATGTTGTTAGTTAGTAGCAATGTAGCAATGATAATAACGCAGACCAACTAACTGCTTCCCAGCAAATTCTGATTTACTTGGCGTTTTGTCATTTTAAAATTTCTTAATTATAATTTATTCATGAACGTTTTAGTGTATTTATTTATTTATTTATTTTTTTTTGTTTATTCATTCATTTATTTATTTACTCATTCATTCATTCATTCGTGATAGCATCATTCATTTTGTGCACAATATTTTCTACTATTATGGTAAGAAGTAACTGTTTTAAACGAGTTTTTTTTTTATAATTTTATACCACAGATATATTTTTGTAATTCACAAAGAATAAAAATTGATTTTAAAATGTGGCATCCAAACACATGGGGCTGCATCCAGCCATGCAATTTATAAAAATTTCACTGACATGTTCAGTGGTCATTAAATTTGACATTTTAAATATTTAACAAGTCTACAACAAAAGTGGTTGGGCAGCAGAACAACTGCCTTCTTCTTCGACTAGCATTGACTGGACGAGAACATTTATAACATGCCTCCATTCACTAATCTTCATCCAATCGAAGATCTTCATCTGGAATGGCACAAATCTTCATTTCGTATGGAAAATGTCTTTCAGAGCGTCATTCCACTTTTCACATAACCAGCCACCACAACAATTGTCTAATATAGCGTTTAAACAGAAAAAAGGTTAAATGTTTCTCTCTTTCTTTTGCGTTTGCTTCAGAAGTTTTAACTACAAACACACACAGCGTATATGAATACGTATACAATTTTTATATGATAAACGGGGATCTCTTTGTATTCGAACCCAGTCATTACAATAGCAAGACCAGGCGCCATTGAGCCATCACGCCGCCCTAAAGGTTAAAAAGATCAATTACACTGTTCCACGTGTAATTCCATATTTTTCCTTAACAGAACGCATTCAATCAGTGCCTATTTGTGAATGTAAATTGAATTTTAGCTTTTTGTAACCTTTAATTACAAACTGCAATGGAAACTTATTTGTATATATAAATATAACAATTAAGTTTATGTTACAAAAATTGAAATTTTAGTTTTTTAAGGGATTGTGTTAGACTGGAACTCAAAAAAGTTGGATAAGTTAGAAATAATTAATTAAATATAATAATAAATAAATAATAATTGCGACCAATGATCGCAGCTATAGGATCAACTTTTTATGAATGGTTTGAATTTTGTGATTGGACGAATTTTTTGTATGAAACAATGTTTCTGATGTATGGTGCAATTTTAAATGACCTCGACGAGGAAACAAACCACGGCCGAAAAAGTTTTTTAATAAAAGAATAAAAATCAGTAATAGCAAAATATTTTATTTTATTTGCAGGTTTTAGTTATATGTATTTATTTATTGTATAGATTTGGTCGTGAATGTTTAAATCAGATTTATTAAAATTGATACCAATGTCAATTAAACAAAATAAAATATTTTTCCATAACTGTCAAAACAAAATGTAGCAGAAA